AGGTACCTACCTGACCCTAAAACTAACCTCACAGGTACTTACCTGACCCTAAAACTAACCTAAACTCAATGCATGCCTTGGTTCTCAACTAAACCCAACCCCCAACCCACCAATGGCATTTAAACCAAATGGGGACTCCACTTTTGTCCCCAAATGCACCAGTTGTCCCCAAATGTAGGATTTTTGTCTTAAAATTAGGGCTGTCAAATGATTCATATTTTTAATCTGATTAATCCCATAGTAGCTGTGAATTAATCATGATTAATCTTACATTTAATATACATTTCTATTTATAAAATAAATTACTTGAGTTATTAATTAGTTTTTAATGTTTTTATTTAGAAAACAAAATTGATTCTTAGACATGATTTTTTGAATATAAAACAGGACCTAAACAATGCTCCAAACATTTTTGAGTCAGTTACATTTTGTGCAGAATAATGAGGTTAAATCAAGAATTCATGGATTTTCATTCCAAATGAGTACTACATGAGGAATGAAAGATAGATACTAAGGTCACAGTTGTCAGCAAAACATCAATAAATAAAATAAAATAAGCCATAAGAAGACAGAAAGAAAAAAAACTGCACATGTGTTACACATGGAGTTTTTTTATATAATTTATTTAACCTTTATTTATGCAGGTAAACTGTTTGAGAAGCACTTCTCATTTACAAACATGACCTGGCATGCACTGACTGCATTGCAGTATACAAACCTACATATTCAGCCAGAGTAAAGTGATAGTAAATTTTAATTGCGATTAAAATTTTTAATCTATGCCCATGCAGCACTAAAATTAATCAGAGTTAACTCAATTAATTTCACAGCCCTACTTAAAATTGCCTCCAAATACATGTATCACCAGAAACAAACCCACAGTGGTTGGACTGATGTTTGTCTTTAAACATACACAGACCTTTATGAAAAAGTCACACTGATCAAAGGGAAATAAACTTTCTCATAGTTGCCAATGGACCCAAGTCATAGTTATAAAGTTAAATGTTTGGATAAAATATTTAACAGATATTTCTGCTGTTTTAACCTTGAATGACTAAAAGTCTGAACAGTTTTTATTGGCTTCATGGTAACATTTTGAATTGTGAGCATCACACTTTGGTTTCCAAAAACACATCTTGTGTCCATGTTTGACTTGTTGATATTTGGGGTGTTTGTGAATCAGAACATCTCTGTATGTTACTGTAGGTCTCCAACATGGTGAAGTTCAAACAGACATGAAGGATGAACAGAAGTCAGAGGGTGGAGATCTAAATGTGATGCTAAACGTGTCTGGAGTCCCTAACCTCACTGCCAGCAGCATCACCAATGGTACAGAATAATTGACTTTCTCTCTCCTTTTGACTGATGCTTCTACAGTTTTCTACTCTGAGTGCACACAGGAAAACCCATTGTACTGTCAACCTACATGGTACTGTGGGCCTGTGCAGGAGAACCTGCAGTACTCTGCAACTGTTGATTGAATAATAAGGAAATAAGTACTGAACACATCAATCAATCAATCAATCAATCAATCAATCAATCAGTCCAACTTTATTGGTGATAGCATTCCGTGAAATGGAGACCTGTCGTTGACATCTGGCTCATTCAACACAAACCAAAGAAACACACAACTTCTTAAAGCTTGCTATAACACTCATAAAAACCCAATAAAACCTTCTAAAATACATGATACATGAAACATGTCAGCAGGCAGTAGTTTGTCATGTCAGGTTGTGTTTAAATAGGATCCAGTCACCATGGAGGGAACAAATGACTTTTTGTAGCATTGTTCTTTGTTATTTCTTTGTCAGTCTTCTGCCAGCTGACAGCAGATATAACGTAATATAGCTTTCAGTGAATGAGTTGGGTCATTGTAGAACCTAATTACACAGAATTGTAAGTTGTATTTGTTGATGACCAATTATTTTACTGGCTCCTTTGGCCACCCAGAACCACCTGTTCCTATCTCTAGCTAGGAGATAGGAACAGAAACAATATGAGACAATATTAAAAGAGAAAACACTAAACCACTGACTTGAACACTAATTACAAAGTGTTTGCTTGCTTTAAAGCCTCTTAACTTCTGTAGAAGGTGGAGACCTGTCTGTTTTCTATAAACACAGTTAGCATTGATATCAATTATCATTCCATTGTATTTGAACTCACTAACCTGCCTCATTTACTGTCTGTTTTTAATGATAGAAAATCTGAGTACAGGTCAGTTAATATTATGGGCTATATGAAAATATTTACACCAAATGTGGGAAACAACCCAAGTAATCCACACACAAACAAATAAAAAAATAAATGTACAAATAATTCCATAAATTGAGTCATAAGTAATAAAGTGAAGTGGAGAGTCTACATGTGTTTTGTGAACTTGGAGAAGGCATTTGACTGAGTTCCTCAAGGTACATAGTAGGGGTGCTCCATGAATACAGGATTGGGGGTCCGTTGTGACGGGCCATACAGTCCCTACACAAACAGCGTAAGAGTCTGGTTTGCATTGTCGGCAGTAAGCCGACCCCATCAGGGTGGGATTTATATAGTAAGGAAGTAAGTAAAGTTTTATTTATATAGCGCCTTTCACAGAAATCAATTCACAAGGTGCTGTACATTCAGGGAAGGGGGGAGGGGGCAGTTGAGACAGGTCATGCAGCAAACACAGTTGCGCTACAACAACAGCTTGAAATAAACAAAAGGAAAACTGAGTTAAAACAACCCGCGAGAGTGCAAGATAGCCTTGGGGGGGGGTGGGGGACTTAGGTCAGGTAACACATAAAGGGGAGGTAAAATGGGGTGAGTTCAGAGGAGTAGGTGACGTTGGGGGCGGGGGTGGTGTCTGTGCTAGGCCCAACCCTGGGCCCATCCAGAGTCACATGATGTTATTGTCTCTACTCAGTTCACTAGAGTTCAGAGGTTTTCCTCCTCCTCAGCCAGTTTGAGTTCCAAGGCCGGGTCCAACACAGGTGATGGGGGTGGGACAGAATCCAGCTCTTTGTTGATATTTCATCCTGGGGAGGTTCAGATAAGCACTGTCCTCAAGGCTGTGCTACTGGGAGCCAGATAAAATAATCCAATTGTTTTGGAAACAATGCAACCTTGAATTTCTTGCTTCTTTTGAAATGTCTTTACTGCAAACTCTGAGGTGGCGAAAAAAGCAAATCAGCCGAATTTGGGGTCTTCCTCGCCTCCCACCAATTGAAGCTCACCCAGAATTTCGTCCATACATGCCGAAGGGTCGCTCCTGAGTTGTGATCCTCATAATCACATCCAGTTTGCAAATTTGTCCCCCAGCTGAGAGTCTGTTTGCTTCCAACCGGCAGAAACCTTCACAAGTGCGCCCGACAGCTCTTCGAAGGCCCTATTCACTGTCAGGGTCGCTTCACTTTTCGATAAATCTGGAACCCTCCTCTGCCGATCAGTAGGAATCCAGTTATCATAGTCCAATTAAATAAAGATCTTCCATGTCTTCAATGGAAAGTTGTGCTGGCATATCAGACTCCAGCCCTAGGAATCAGACAAATCCAGCAGCAACCGTTCCACCCAGACAGCCACGTTCCCCTCGTTCCAGTTGTGGAAAAAAATAGTGTCAGAGTCCAGTTTACCAAATCCATAATTCCTTTGTTGTAAAAATAAATTTATTAAACAATTCTTTGTGACATGATATAATTTGTATTTTTTAGTTTGTTTTTACAGATGTTAAAATTATTGTAGTTTACAGCAAAAACTTATA